CTATAATATTAACTCAGCAAAGCATCGAGCGCAAGCCGCAATGTTTCTTTGTTCATCACGCGGAATTTGTCTATGAAGCGGAAACATTCGCCATCTTACATTCATCATTTCTGTGTTCACGCGATCAATAGATCCATTGTTAATTAAAATAAGTGGGGCGTCACTAGTTGCAAAGAATGGCGTGCACGTGTCCCTCTCGAGAACAATATCTTTGCTCATCTGATTTTTCGGGGCTGGAAAATGAACCGTGTCACCTTCTAAGACCTGCAAAAACTCGCACCACGGTATAAGGGATGGCTTCCATCTGAAATCATTAAGTAAAACAACTTCAGCCGATTCAATTCCCAACCAAGCAAAATTTCCAGATGCGGGATTAACAAAACATTCGTATATTTTCTTTAGGGGTGAAACTAAAAATGTTTTTACACAATTTGCTGGACCGTAAATATAAATATTTCGGTACTTCCCCCTTCCTCTAGATAGGGCGTCATACATGGCTGAAGAAAAGTCCGACTTTTGGATCCCATTCATATCTAAAATTTCAAGCGCAGCACGTTGCCAAGCACCATCACAACCGCCCTCGCAGGTTTTGCCTAGTTGATCTTTCAACAACTCTATTCGCGATTTCTTTGACCTGAGAAGACGTTCTTGCGCGCAACTAAGTTCTTTGGCTGTCTCCAAAGCATCATTCACTACTTTGCTGCCTCTATTAGACACAAATTCAGCTAAGTCCGTCTTGCCTTCATCTTTCCATCTCGCTGCCAACGCCATAAGTTCTAAACGACACGTAATTTTGTGATGTTGTATAATTTGTACAACATCGAATGTTGACAAGCGCTTTCGTTTGTTTTTTGAGGCCTTTCGATTGCATTTCCGCTTTTTTGTTGCATTTGACGTTTTAGGGGGACCAGTCGTGTTGGATAGATCAGGGTGATCAGGGGAGACAATAAATTCGGCGTCTTCCTTCGTTACATATTTATATGCCCCATAATAATTGTCGTGGTGATCCGAAAAGTTTACTTTAATTCCGTGTTTCTCGTCAATATAATTTCTTGCACGCAGCCAGCGTGATTTTGTGTTCAGTTTTATGGCCATATAGAAATGACGACCGCCATTTTGATGTTGCTCTTCGCTCACTACCCATTGTAGAACTTTCGATCTGTAACATGATTTCCAGGCATTGACTATAACTTTGGCAAAGTCTGGCTTCGTTAAACCAGAAGCATCGCATTGACTAAAAGTAATTAGAAATACTGACCGTTGCAGTGGAGACGAATTAGGGATATCCTGTTGTATAGCAGACATAACTCTGCAGTTTAGTTTAATGTGAACATAAACTTATTGATTCTTTATATACTTTCTCTGATGAACACACCCTACAAAATATGTTAGCACACCTACATAACAATAATTATATTTTTCCTGCTCATTTCCTTAACTACACACTTCAAATTTGAACACTTTATTGGATACAGTACAAACGTTTCCGTTCCAACTCTACATTTTAAGCCATTTATACGTGTGCGAATTTATACCTATATCACATTTATCTGAAATAACTTTATTATCAGCCGACCAGCCATATAATGGGTAAATACTTGTTCAGTTTCCTGGTCAATTTAAACTTTTCAATCAAGGCTGAACATGTACAAAAACTTGATATTTAATATGATACAATATCTTGCCAACTGCCTAGACAATCAGTGACAAAAGGTTTTTGGACAGTGATATAATATAGACATATCTGCGCATTTCCAAATACTGTTCAGCTTAATAACACTATCCCTCCCTCCCCCATCCTAAACAATGTTGGGTCGCTGGCAAGGAACATTTTGTGCAGGTATTTCCACACACAACATTGAACGGGGGGTGCGGGGGGTCGATTATGTTGTAAACGTACGCTGTTTAGCTATTTTGTCTAAAGTGTTTCGTCACTGATTGTATAACTACAATTTACTGTTAATATTTTTATTGATGCGCTATTATTCAAGACGGCTTCATAAGTTTATTTTTATTTCTACATTTATTTTACTATATACAATTGTTTGTAATCTATAACCAGATATCTGAATATAAATCTTTATAACATTGTGTGTCATTTCACATAGCATGATTGTTGTATAAAATTATCGAACTTTCAAGCTAGATAATTTTTTGTATATGCATGCAAAGTTTTATTTCAGTATTGGAAAACTTTCATACTGTAGGCTGAAACATAGTAGCATGAGGTATATAGTCATTATCATGACAGTTGAGTTGCTTTGGAACTCTTACGATTTTGTGATATACACCCACAGTACATGAAGTTAGGGAGTGGTCATTATTTATGGGGGGGGTTGGGAAATGGGAGGGGGGAGGCAAACGAAGTTTTACCCTTATAAATAGGGGGGGGGCAAAAAAGTTTTAACACAGAGAAAGGGGAAGGTCATAAAAGTTTGTCTAGAGTTCTGATTTCTATAATCACAAATAGCAAAGAAGAAGACTCTGAAAATGCTATTTCCAACGATCTAGAGACTCAAAATTTTCAAAATTTCTCTGCTCGGCGCCAACCATGGTAGCGCCTCGCGATCGTGGGAGTCGGGCCCACTAAGTTTAACAAGCTTTCTACCCCCTGAGTGACCCAGTTGTGGTACTTACATAAACATAGCATGCAAGTACACTTAACTGATCAGATTCGGTCTATCAACGCACAATGTAACGCTGTATATCCAAAAATCTGTTTCAGAAAATGCTCACATTTCAGTTCTAGGGGTGGAAAAATACAAAAAATTTTCTGGGGGAGAATACCCCCAGACCCTCCTACTATTACATACGATACCACACCAAACTTTTTGTCACCAACAACAATCTGTCATCTCTCCACACTCAATATAGTATGGTCCCTTTTTTTAGATGCCCACCCCCCAGACAAGTTCTTAAAAAAACCCTGTGTTCAAATAATTTCGCTGTATGAAGACGGGTCATGGGTTAGGGTTATGGTAGGACAAATGTTGCATTGCAAAGTAGTAACACATAATATATATATTTTTAATCATATATGGTTGAATCATATTCACCAGGGTAAAACATCATGAGCTAGATTAAACAGATTCTCCTAAAATCTAACTTTACCTGCAATGCACACCTGTTTCATTGTTGTTAATTTTCAATCCACACTGTGGGGGTCAGAAAAGTTTCTACTTTTATGAGGGGGAGGCACAAAAAGTTTGCCTTCAGTCTGTAGGGGGAGGGGGTCAAAAAAGTTTACAATCCTTATTTTCCCCATTACACCACAGGAAGTAATAAAGATGACAACTGTATAATCTTTATAGTTACTATATTATTTTTTTTATTAAAAGCAATGCATGGTAGTATCTTTTAGCATTCTGGAGTTGAAAATGAGCTTCAATATCACAAGATTTGTCTGGTGATATATTGGAATTTGTCTTGGAATATATGTCTTGAGCTCTGACAACTCAGAACTGCCATTAATTAAATTATTAATACTAGCTGACATTGTACATTATATTATTTTATACCACGATATTCTAGTAAGAAGTGTATCCAGCATACAATAGTGAAATCAAATGTTGACTAGGCAACAACCCTTCTATTATTCCATCTGCCATAAATCCCCTATTTCCCCCCCCTCTAAAAAATAGATGTAAGTCCCCACGGCCTCACCCCCCTTTCTAAAATTGAAATGTATTACACCCCCCCCCCCCTATATCAATAGCTAGAGGATTTATGGTAAGGCACAGTAGCTATGACATTGTCATATAGCATCCTGTTTGTATGCTGCATGTCAGATGTTTTGCATGCATATTTATGTTGTTATTTAAAACAAGAACATCTTCTCGATAATGCCTGGCAATTATTGTTTCAGAACATTTGTGCCAAAAACATTTTGTTTGAATTACAGTGTTCTTGATGGGGGTTCTTGATAGAGTTCAGTCTTGTCCTCTTAATATGCAATATCACCTTCACTTAGAAAAACACTTATTCCTTCTTGTGTTAGTTGGTTGTTTGAGGAACACAAGTTTTTCAGCTTTCGGCTGTAATGTGTTTTACCCTCGTTAAATAAAGTTGCTACTGCTACTACTACTACTACTACTATGGGTACAAAATGTCTACAGTAGCCCCAGTTATGAAGATTTCTATCTGATTGTTGAACTTGGTGGTAATAACAGTCAGGGATACCGAGAGGTTGTGCGGGGTCCCTATGTCATAATTGTAAAACAGGAGGAGCAGTGTTTTATAATATATTGCACTTTATTGCATATTATCCAGCACTGACACAGTTAGGATTTATATTATTGGTTAAGCAATCTTGTATCAAGAAAATTTAAGGGACTTTGGGGGTCCCTTTAATCTGAGGTCCCATCAATCTGGGGTCCCATCACTCCCAAGCCCAAAATGCCCCCCCCCCTCTCAGCGGCACTCATTACAGTCAGCATCACGTTTGAATTTCACCATTATTTCCAATTTCGCTATATCATTCGGTATTTTCTCCACAGATAGTCTTGAATATTTACATCTTACACTAAATCCTGTCATGCATAGAAAAGCTCAAAATTAAAGAATGCAGTCAGACTATAGGTTATATCTGATAAAACACTCCTAATCTGATATCTGATAAAACACTCCTACGCGTGCTTTAAATAGTACATACATATATATATATATATATATATATATATATATATATATATATATATATATATATATATATATATATATATATATATAATATAATTAATATATATATATATATATATATATATATATATATATATATATATATATATATATATATATATATATATATATATATATATATATATATATATATATATATATATATATATATATATATATATATATATATATATATATATAAATTGTGTAATTGTACACTCTGTAATATGTTAAGATGAAAATGTTCTAGAGTGTGTATTATATAATTTCCATACCCAGCGCAAGCAGAAAGATGTTGTCTGCCGCGGCTGGGTCTTGAACCCGCGACCTTAGAATTACTAGATTGACGCGAGGAGCTTCGTGCGAGGACTGGAATTGCGAGGACTGAAATCAACCACAAACTCTTCGCAAAACGTTTTAATATGTTCTTCATAAAACTAAACTAAACCATTATCGATAAACTTTGAATTTGAAATAAAATGACTTAAATTTCTCGTATGCAAATAACTTTGCTTTCTTTTCTATTTGAAAATGTTACTATAATAAAAAAGGGTAATCAATAAAGATACACTTAAATTATATGCGGTCTTTTTCATTCTACGCAACGATCAACTTTTGAAGCAATTATAAAGCAAACAATAAATCAAAATTTAAACAAACTTACCTTCATTAACGTGGTTGTCTTTGCTGAGTTCGCTCCCTCCTTTTAACAATTCTTCCTCTTTTTTTCTCAAAAAGCTTGCAAAGATGAAATATATTTGCAAGAGATCAAGAAATGTTTGCTATTTCGCTGTCGTCATGCAGTCGTTATAATGCAAATTTTAAATTGGACCAATCAGTGTTCGCCATTAATGACAGTCCGCTATATTTTGAGATCAGCGACGATGACCACGCACGATAACCCACGCCCGCGATTATTGATAAACTTTAGACTTCGCTAATGCTATACTTTCCCCTACGGTAAATAGCCGTGCGGAATTAGCACCCTCGCCCCCTATTATTAAAATAATAGGGCGTGTCCGAAAGACAAATGCTATTTGAGGTATTTGAAAAAATTCACGAGTGCTTGTTTTATCCAAATTGCACGAGAAATCATGCTATTATATACTTACATGAAAAATTGTATGGAACTCCATGACACAAATACGACTCGTATGTCTCGATCTCTTTTAATTATTAGGACGTCGAATACTTTGAAACGTTGAATACATGTTTTAGTGTTTGAAAATATACATTTTTCCGTAGCACTCTTCTAAGCAGGCTTATCAAGATAACATGATGTTTCGAGTTCATCGAGCACCAGAAGTCATTTAAAAAAGTAAAAACTCCACTTAAGCATATGCTAACACCGCAATGTTGGAATTTATTGTTTTGCTCAAAATCGTTCCCGTGGTCTTCTTGCTGAAAATGTGCTTATTTGCAGACCAAAATTCTTAAAAGGCCGGGAAATATTCACGGAATTTTCTCTCTTAAAGTAAGCACTGCATTTCCTCAAAATTGCACTGCTCAAAAACTATTGACACTTTTTTCATGTATATTATATTGACCATCTACTGAATCAGACTATGTATACAGTACTTCACTTTTTAATTAAAAACAACTCACGTTTGTGTTCCAAATGCATCATGTAATTGTTTCACCTCAGGAATATTCTGAACTGCTTCTCTACTCATATCAGTGTCAACAAACGATGGGCAAATACAATTCAAACGTACACCTGACTCAATGGCTACCTAAATATTGACATCATTATTAAGACTCCGATGGAAGGTAAATAAAAAAGATGGTTATAAAACTGGATGAAATAAATTACACGTAGCGATCCGAGTCAATTCTTCTCAAATCTTTAGTTTCAAAAAGATATTTATTTCGTCTTATATATTAGGGAGCTTTAGAAGCAACTACGAGTAAGAGTACGAGTACTCGTAGTCGCTGCTAAAGCTCCCTATTGAGTGAGCGAGAGGTCCGGACTGTAGGATATATTAGCCTACTAGAGTTCTTTTTCCGTTTGTACTATATGAACCGAGCCGTAAGCGAGGTCCATATACAATTGAGAAAAAAGAACAAGACTAACGTCCGGCCGGAAGAAGCTGAGTCAGTAAGTCATTTATTATTTGACTAAAAATAAGAACATTCTTCGAAAAAAATTGTTTATATTTACTAAATCGAGAACTAAGTTGTTTACAATACTATTTAAATACTTGAAAAAGCAAGATTTCTGTAAATAATTATCGAGAAACTTAGATAAAACGACAACAACATGGATTGAGATGTTGTTAAAAGTAGAAATCACACTCTCCCATATTTTAAGTGCTACCAAAACGTTTCTATACAGGTCATGTAAACAACTTTTTAACACAAACTAGAGTAGAATATAGCATAAGTTTTTTTCATTTAAAAAACTTACAAAGATCACAAATTTATAGTCTTTTATCTGAGCAAATGTCTTAAGCTTGTGAGAAAATTTATGTTTTCCTTCGCCAGCGGTCCATCTTAACGGTCCATACTATATGAGAGAAGTCAGCGGTCGGTACTGCATGATACCGACCGCTCAGGAACCAATCAAATTGCAGCAGTGTGCAGATGGACCGTTTTGCCAAACAATAAATTCGCTTATTTATAGTTTCACTTTTTGGATGTTTTCCTGTCTGTAATCCATGAAGCATTGGCTTTATGATTTTCGAAGTGAATTTTCGCATAAGTATCCATTCGGAAATCTCAGTGTATTAACTGCAGGCACATTATGCGGACAGATTTGGTATCAGGCCCCTGCATTTAAATTTGTGCGCTATATATATATATATATATATATATATATATATATATATATATATACATATATATATATATATATATATATATATATATATATATATATATATATATAT